AATTTGGGGTTTTCATAAGCTGTACGCCATAATCATCACAATTATACTGAAGTAAGGCTTGGCATATCTCGCTTTGCATGTAATGCATCTATCTTATATATTGGTTTCACCTTTTGAGTTGCCTTACTGACATAAATGAACATTTGCACACTATTCTAATTTTCTGAGATTGTGAATTTGGGGTTTTCATAAGCTGTACGCCATAATCATCACAATTATACTGAAGTAAGGCTTGGCATATCTCGCTTTGCATGTAATGCATCTATCTTATATATTGGTTTCACCTTTTGAGTTGCCTTACTGACATAAATGAACATTTGCACAATATTCTAATTTTTTGAGTTTCACCTGTATATTGATGAGATCTGAGCTGTCTAACAAACCAGGAAAAAGAATCTTAGAATCATAGTAGGTAGCTCAAAGAAAACATTAACTCAGTGTGCAGCAGCTGTGGGGAAAAGTCAGATTTAATGCTAGGGATCATTAAGAAAGGGACTGAAAATAAAAGTGCCCTCATTGTAATGTCCTTGAATGAAAATGGTATGTCTGCATCAGCAGTACTACATACAGTTCTAGTTGTCACATTTGAAAAAGGTTATAATAGTGCAGAAAAAGGCAACCATAATGATCAGAGAACTCAAATATCTTCCCTCTGAGAAAAACTAGAATGTCTGATGCTCCTTAGTTTGGGTAAAAGGCAGAGGAGGGGAGATATGTCTGAGGTGTATAAAATTATGCCTCACATGAAGAAAATGGACAGAAACAAGTTTTTTTCCTCTCTTAATACTAGGATTAGGGGTCATCCACTGAAGCCGATTAGAAGGATAATTAGAACAAACAAAAGAAAACACTTCTTCATACAGTGCATTACTACAAAACGTGGTGATGGCCATTAACTTGGATGTTTTTAAAAGAAGACTAGATAAATTCATGGAGGACATCAAACTCTATCTTGAAAACTCAGTGTGATCCCAGGGTTGAAGGCAACATGCTTCCAAATTCTAATTGTGGGTGAACATGGCATTAGAGAGGTACAGTATGTCTCCATCCCGTTTGTGAGCAACCCAGAGGCCACTATGAGAAGCAAAATGCCCAACTAAGATTAACTTTGCAATGATCCAGCAGGAATGGGAAGATGCTATTTTCTTTGCTACTCATTCCTATGACATTTTGAATAACAAGATTTGAAGATATCCTGCTTTATCAGGGTCTGCAATTACAAGTAGCATTCAGCTTGTGTTAAGCTGAATATAAATAGAAACTTGGATCTTGAAGAGTTGATAGAAGAATATTCCTCTGTCTCCCTCTTTACTTAATCCATATGGTTAATTTAATGCATGAAGGAGGTTTAGGGTTAGGCTAGATTTCCATCTTTAAAAAATCCTGACAGTTTTCTTTTTAAAAATCTAAATATTTCTGTTAATCTTTTGGTATTAATGTTTTCCCTTATATTTATAATTTATTTATAAATATATATATTGAGTCAGGGTGGATATGTAGCCAAAGGAAGTCAAGAAGGGAAAGGAAAGTATTGCTGTGCTCGTGGTAACAGCAAAGTTGACAAAGGAACTTCACATAAGAAAAAAGAAAAGCTAAAAAAATATTTCTCAAATAGTCTAGTGAGGACTGAATAAGATCAGTTCCACAGAATGCTGAGTGTTGTACAAATAACTTTATCTCCCAATTATGAGCTTTCCTTGTTTTCTTACAACTTTTGCCTTTTCTGTGGCCAGCAAAAATAATCAAGTGGGAAAAGTGGAATCTCTGCCCAGAGGCAGCCCACTCTCATTTCTTTACTCCACTGCATGTAAATATGAATAGAAGGCTCATATTCCAGGCAATATCTTTCTTTAGTGAGAGCTGAATGGCATTGATTTACACTAACTCCCACCCCCTTGCCATAGCAATGCCTCTATTCCCCAAAGATAGACAGAAACTTTAAAATCTTCAAAGGTGAGTAATGTGAAGCAACACAGATCCCCCATTAAAGGAGAGTTTTGTGTCCCTGTACCTTCTTCTTATCTCCTCAAAAAGGAATGTGTTTAATATTTTTAGTATGTTTTTATTCCACCCTGGTTCCAAGCAGTCCAGAAAGGCATTAATTGTTCTGGCTGTCTGGGGCAAGTATATTTAATACAATT